TCCAGTTACAGACCCACTGGCAGGTGGAAAATAGCTGGGACTCCAAGGAACACAGTTTACATACCAGTAACTTAGAAATAAAACTCAAAATTTATTTTTTAAATAAGATTGACAAAGTGGATTTTAAAATGATCAATTACTTTCTACAAGAAACTCACTTCAAAATAGCAATATAAGCAGGTTAAAAATAAAAGAATGGAAAAAGATATATTATGGAAACATTAATCCAAGGAAAACATAAGTACCTATATTAATATCAGACAAAGTAAACTGCAGAACAAAGAAAATTACCTGAGACAGAGAGAGACATTACATAATGGTCAAAGGGTCAATCCATCAGGGTGACACAATTTTAAATGTATATGCACCAATCAACATAGTTGCAAAGCATGTAAAGCAAAAACTAATACAACTGAAAGGAGGAGAAAGAGACAATTCCAAAATACTTCTCTCTCAACAATTGATTTTTAAAAATAAAAAAGCAAGAATATAAAATTTAACATCAACAATGTCTAATAAGCAATTATAGAATACTCTTCCCCCAAGAAAAGTAGATTATTCATTCTCTTCAAGTATCATAAAATACCAGGAAATAATATATTTTGAGCTACAAAACAAATGCTAACAAGTTTAAAATAATTAAAATTGTACAGAGTACATTCTCTGATCATAATCAAACCAAACTAGAAATTATAGAAAGATAAAAATCTGCAAACATTTGAAAACTAAACTATACACATCTAAATAACTCATAAATAAAACAGCAACTCTCAAGGGAAAAATACTTTGAACTGAACAAAAATGAAAATACAACACAGCAAAATTTATGGGACACAGCTAAAGCAATGCTGAGAGAGATTTATATCACCAAATGCATATGCTAGAAAAGAAAATTTTCTGAATAATCTAAGCTTCCACCTCAGAAACAGATCAAAATATCCCAAAGCAAGCACAAGAAAATAAATGAAAAACAAAAATCCCTAAAATTGAAAACAAGAAAATCAACAAAATAAAGAGCTGGTTCTTTTAAATGATCAATAAATAGAATTAATAGACCTCCAGCAAGACTGGCGAAGAAACAACAGACAAAATTACCAGTATCAAAAATGAAACTGGAATATCACCACTGACACAGCAGAATCAAGGGATAATAAGAAAATGATATAGACACCTCTAGACAAAATGGATCAATTCTTTTAAACACAAACTACCACAACTCACTGAATGCAAAATAGATGTTTTCAATAGCTCTCTATCTGTTAAGGAAAGTGAATTTGTTATTTTAAAACTTCCAGAAAAACATCTTCAGATCTAGATTATTTTATTAGTGAATCCTACTGTTTGTTTAAAGAAAAATTAATTCCAATTCTGTAAATATTTTCCAGAAGATAAAGTAGAAGAGGTTGCTTCTCAAATTGTTTTATGAAGCTAGTGTTACCCTGATTTCAAAACCAGGGAAAACAGTATAAAAAATTAGAGACCCAAAGCCTTCATAAATATATATGCAAAAGCTGGGTCAATAGTTGAAAAATCAATTAATGTAATATACCACATTAACAAGCTAAAGCAGGAAAATCACATGATCATATCAACTAATGCATTAAGTTCAAATGCAAGTAATACAGAAAAAAAACGAATTCAACACCCATTCACAATAAAAATACCCTCAGAAAAATAGAAATACAAGAGAACTCCCTGAACTTTAAGAAAATCATCTACATACAATACACAGCTAGCATTATGCTTTTTAGTGACAGACTGAATATTTTGCCTGAGACTGAGAACAGGCTAAGTATGTTCACTCTCATAACTTTTATTCAACATAGTCTTAAAAGTTTCAGTAAGTGCAATAAAGCAAGAAAATGAAATAATAGGCATACATATTAGAAAGGAAGAAATAAGACTATTTCTATTTGCAGGTGACATGATTGTCTTTAAAGAAAATCCAACGAATCTACAATATACTTCTAGAACTAATGAGCAAGTCATCAAAATTGCAGAATACAAGATAAACATACAAAAATCTATTGTATTTTGGTATACTAGCCAGAACATATGTGCAGCAAAAAAACATGTACAGGACTCATATGCTGAAAACTACACAATGCTGATAACATAAATCAAAGAGGACCTACATAGGTGGAGACATACTATTTTCATGGATTGAACTATCCAAATAGTAAAGATGTCAATCTTTCCAAAATTGATATATAAATTTAATATAATCACTATTAAAATCCAAAAAGGTTTTTCTAGATGCAGATAAGATTATTATACAATTTGTATGAAGAGGCATGAAACCTAGAATAGTTAAAACAATTTTGAAAAAGAAAGTGGAAGGACTCCATCTACCTGATTTTAAGATTTATATAATTATAGTAATCAAGACTATAGTACTGACAGGAGTATCAACAATGGAAAATAATGCAGAATCCAGAAATAGATCCACACAAATATGCAACTGATTTTTTTTTTTTTTTACAAAGTTACAAGAACAATTCAATGGAGGAAGGACAGTCATACAAGGGGTGCTAGTACAATTGAAAATCCAAATAAAAAAACACATAAGGAAACCTTGATCTTAACATTCTACTTTATATAAAATTTAACTCAAAATGGATCATAGACTTTATAAAAGTATAAAATGTTTAGAGAAAAATAGGATAAATCTTTAAGAGTTAGAAGTAGACAAAGATTAAAAAAATAAATTGATTAAATCTTGCTTTAAAAATTAAATAAACCTTTTGATCTGTGTAATAACACCCTGTGAAGAGGATAAAAAGATAAGACACAGATTGAAAGAAAACGTTTCCCAACCACATATCCAACAAAGAATAGTATATAAAGAACATTTAAAACAAAAAGTTAAAAAAAAAAAAAATTAAAAAAAAAAAGTTAAAAAAAAAAAAAAAAAAAAAAAGCAGTTTAATTAAAACATAAGCAAAAGACATTAGGAAGCATTTCACAAAACAAAATATATAACTGAGAAATAAGCACATAAAAAGATGACTCAACATCATTAACCATTAGGAAAATACAAATTAAAGCCACAATGAGATATTGCTATATCCCTATTGAAATAACTAAAAAGTAGTGACAATACCAAATGCTGGTGAGGATGTGGAGAAGCTAGGGTCCTCATATGTTAGCATGTAAAATGGTACAGTCACTCTAGAAGAATATGGCAGTTTCTTAAAATACTAAACATGCAAATACATCCAGGAATTAAAATACCAAACATACATTTCTTAACATACTAAACATACCATACAATCCAGGAATTAAACTTCTGTGCATTTACTCTAGGAAAATGAAGACTTACATTCACACAAAACCTGTGTACAAATGTTTATAGCAACTTTATTTATAATAGACAAGTGCTGGAAATAGCTCAGATGTCCTTCAAAGGTGAATGGTTAAACAATCTGTAGTTTGAGACCCAGATACTTCCTAGTTAGGTGAAAACACATATTTTATTCCTTTGCTTCCATTTTCTCTCTTATAGAAGAAGAATAATTATGTCAATCTATTAAAGTTTTTGAGGAAATTAAATGAGTCAAAGTATGTAGAGCACTTAACATAGTGCTGGCACAAAGTGCTCAATGAAATATTACCACCAATAGGGAATGTAAATTAGTTCAACCACTGTGGAAGACAATGTGGCGACTCCTCAAGGATCTAGAACCAGAAATACCATTTGACTCAGCAATCCCATTACTGGGTATATACCCAAAGGATTATAAATCATTCTACTATAAAGACACAGTCACAGGTATGTTTATTGTGGCACTCTTCACTATAGCAAAGACTTGGAACCAACCCAAATTCCCATCAATGATAGACTGAATGAAGAAAATGTGGCACATATACACCATGTAATACTATGTAGCCATAAAAAGGATGAGTTCATGTCCTTTGCAGGGATATGGATGAAGCTGGAAACCATTATTCTCAGCAAACTAATACAGGAAAAGAAAACCAAACACCACATGTTCTCACTCATAAGTGGGTGTTGAACAATGAGAACACATGGACACAGGGAGGGGAACATCACACACCAGGGCCTGTTGGGGGGTGGGGAGCTAGGGGAGGGATAGCTTTAGGAGAAACACCTAATGTAGATGACGGTTGATGAGTGCAGCAAACCACCATGGCACGTGTATACCTATGTTACAAACCTGCACGTTCTGCATATGTATCCCAGAACATAAAGTATAAAAAATGAAAAACAGAAATTACCACCATTAACACTTGCCAACTTGTAGAAGGTAGTCTTAAGATTATGAAATCCCTCCTGGCTGTGCAGTACTGGTGTGAGGGATGGGGATGGGAACAAAAGCCTCTGTTGACCATTACTTCTTTAATTTACATATTTGGACAGCAAGAATATAAAAGCTAGACATGACATACTGTCTAATCAGGAATGAAAAGTGATATGGTCAATAAGAATGCAAATACATACAAAAATGCTAAATTTGCTTAAGTGTAGAAAGATTGCTGGACCTGGGAACTATAAGTAAAACTCTGTGAAGTGTGATTTTTAAAATGCGATTAATTGGAAAATTTCAGCAGCCAAAGGTAGTCCCTCTAATAAAAACTGAACATAACATTTCTTATCTATTATTTGTTTATTAGGGTTCTAATTAGCCATACAGTGTCACTTGATTTCAACACATTTTACAAATAATTTGTCATATATCTGTTAGTATTTACAATTTCTAGGCAGTTTGGAAAATGAACATATTTGAGGACTGTATATTCATTGGTTAGTTCTAAGACCCAAGGGATGCTATAGACACATTTGTTCTTAAATTGCATGTGCCTCTCTCTTTACTGGGAAAGTGATTATGGGAAAGAGTTGGTCTTAGGAGAAAGAAGATCTGGTTTGAGGTCCCATGTTCACCACCAAATTCCTGTGTGGCTTTGAGCAGTTGTATTCACTTCTCTTAGCTTCAGCATTCTCCTCCATGGGACAAGGGGGCTACGCTAAATAACCTTCATTTACTCGCTAGTGCAATATTCTGCAGTTTAACCATATCTGTGATTCTAGACCACACTTGTGCCTAGAAGCCATGGCACTGAGTGAAGGGAAGTAAAGGAACAGGGACTTAAAAGCATTCTTCTCTTTAGCAGATGGAGAACTTTGAAATGCCAATTCACTTTTTAAAAAATTCTAGACTGTTTAAGGCACAGGCAAATTTCTTAAAAATGTTCTTAAAAATTCCTAGCTTGTGTCTTACAGACACAGTGATGTAGACTTTAGATGGTGTGGGTGTTTCTTCTCTTGCGAAATGTTTCCTACGTCCATGTTTTTTCTTGGTAGTCTGATAAGATCTGTAGGTACATATAAAGTTCACAGTGACTCTAACAGCCAAACAAAATCTTATATGAAGGTTTTCATGAAGTTAGATAGTATGTTCACTTCTAACACCTTTTATTCCTAAGCTTGGTAGTATTTCTTTTTTACTACCCTTAAAATCAACTTGTTGCCTATTCTACCTTCTCTTTCATTTATGGACCCATCAATAATTATCTATCAATACAGCAACTTGCTCATGACATTTAAGCCAATTAGTTGAGCTGTAGGTAACTCAGTAAAAGGATTATACATGAAAATCTCCTTTTAGGGTATGAATCAAAGCTATCAATCAGCCCATTAATAATTCTGATTTTCTGTATGTTTGCAGCACTCACCTAATCTGTAACTATAATATATTTGTCCCACTTTCCTTGTTTTGTATAATCAAACAGTAATCAATACAAACTATGACTACTGCAAAATGAGACTTCTGAAGCTTTGAGGACAAATCCATCATCAGCATGCATATAAAAGTCACTGCAGAGAGTCTTTTCTTTCTTTCTTAAGTGCCCTTGAAACCCAGCAACTGAATTATAGTCCAGGCCCCCAAAGAGAGCTACAAGGTTATAATTGTCTCACACTTAATTACATGCATTATCTTTGTAGACAGACAAAGTCATTTTGTACCATGCGTAGAGAATAAAATCACTATGAATTTTTATATTGCTGGCTCATTGATTCACAGAAAGTAGAAATTTATGCAAGAGCCATGTCTAACAATGTAAATGTTCAGCGAAGTCCAAGAACACTGCCTTCACTGTTCTGGGACTGGGCCTCACATTCACAGACTTGCTATTCTTCTGTTTCACTCTTGGGCCTAGTGAGGCAGCTTATTTTTCCTTTTTCTTTCATTGGTCACAGTTCTTTCTCTTCAGTATGTCGTCTTCTCTACGTTTCTGAGGGAGTGTTAGCTTGAGGCCTTGCCTTGACATAATCAGATATAATCAGAAAAATGAAAAATGCCATAGGAAAGAGAGCTATTTTTGCCAAGGTGTGAGAGAGAAATACCACCACTTTCAAGCACTGTTTTCTTCTACTGGAGCCTGCTCAATAGGGACATCAGCTTTGCTGGGGTAAGTAAAAGCATCCTGGCCTTACCTATATATAATGCGAGGGAGTAATTGTCTCTTAGAATCATCAAGTCTAAGTTCTGAATTAGACCCAGGATATAACCACTTTTCTTTACACTGCATTTGGAATTTCATTTGGCTTGCTGGGTGCAAGATCCACATTTCTTTCAACAGAATATTTTATTTTGTGTCAATTGATTTCATTATGATAAGCTGATGGCAAATGCTACTTCCTTACTCAACAGGGCTCGCAGCCTGAATGTGCCTGAATATATTTTATGATAAATAATATATCCTGCAATCATTCAGTGCAGCCCAAGGAAACAGATGGAGTTACAGCCTTCTTCTCAAAGCAGAAAGAAACTACAGCTTTGAGTAAGAGAATGACATCATTACATGGCTTCCAATTTCATCTTGATAAACTCTGAAGCTGGCATATTGCAGTAGTTTTCAATGATAGGTGGGAAGTTTGACTTTGAGTTCAAAGGAGAAAACTGTTGCTTAAAGAAAAATGTGTTTGTTCCCTAAGTATGAGTTACTCCTTCCAGAAGCAAAAAGAAAGAAAGAAAAAAAGCCTCATGCATGCAGAGCTATGATGGACACATTTAGGACAGCCCTGTGTCCTGCTGTTAAGGCTAGGGTGACACTATTCCTAACCCTAAAAGGAAAAGTAATTTTAAAAATAAAAATTATACTGAGCTGCTAGTTATTTTGCCTATAGGAGTCTGTGCATGTGTCTGGTGGAATCTGGTTTTTCTCTGATGTTGTCAGGCAATTTTGGCCAAGGTAGGCAGAAGAATTTGAAAACTATGGAGAGGAGTTTGACCTCCAAAAGCTAATCTGGCACTCTGTTACCTTCTTCTCCCACAGTTTCTTCTCTGTTTCCAGATCTTACAAATTTACAGTCAAGAGTGCTTGGAGTATTATTCCATTAACAGATGTACTGTTACATTAAGCCATTAATCAGGCAAATCACAGATGTTGTTTTCTTTCTAGATGTTACTATAATTACTCTTGATAACACCTACTGAGTTTGTCATTTCATCCATTGATGGCTTTTTAAAAATTTCTTGGATAATTCATTTCTTAAAGACTATTTATATGGATTTAAAAGTTCAGGATGTCTCCTCAGGTTTTCACCATGTGTTTTTTAAAGAGTATAACAGTATAACATCGCATATGGGTGTATTAGTAGGCTCTTGAGAGACTGAAGGTTGAAACCCACATGCTGAGTTTGCAATTAAATCATACTCCTCTTGTGCTAAAAGATGAGCCTTTTCTTTTGAAGCATACAATGCTGATAAGTCCAGTGGAGGAGGCTGCCTTTCAAAAAAATGGAGCTTGAGGAAGGGAATGGAACTTAGTCCAGCTGCTTAGTTTACAGATGATAAAACTAGGACCTAGAGAACTTGTCTGTATTACTGAGACAAAAGGATGCCAGGGTCGAAGGCTCATGGCACTTAATCCAGTGTTGCTGCTGCTTGTTCTGTTTTAAGACAGAGGCTCAGTCTGTCACCTTGGCTGGAGTATAGTGATGCAATCTTGGCTCAATGCAACCTCCACCTCCAGGGTTCAAGCAATTCTCTTGTCTCAGCCTCCTGAGTAGTTGGGATTACAGATGTGCACCACCACACCTGGCTAATTTTTGTATTTTTTTTTTCTTTAGTAGATACTCTTTAGGAGTATCACCATGTTGGCCAGGCTGGTCTTGAGCTCCTGACCTCTGGTGATCCACCAGCCTCAGCCTCCCAAAATGCTGGGATTACAGGCGTGACGCACCACACACAACTCAGTGTGCTTCTACTCCGACATTCATTCTTCAAACAGCTTCTGCCATGTCAGAAGGGAATGAAAATTTCTTTTGTGACTCAAAGGTAAACTAAAACAGGTTGATTCCTGAAACTGGTTCTACTCTGCTTAAAGTAAACTTTTACCCACTCTCCTTAAAGTAAAACTTAGTCAAGTGCTTTGAACCTAGGGAGCTCTAACTTTTCTGCTGATTAAATATTACTGATTTCTCATTTTCTGGTGACATTGTTTTAAAATTCTTTTGACTAAAAAGTTGACGCTTCTGGAGTCTTTTCTTCTTTTCCTTTTGTTTTTTGTAAAATATACTTCTATTAAGAGATGAATAGTCAGAATTGGAATGAGTACAGTTTAGTAGAAAAAAACATGGGCTTTGGAATAAAAGTTGCATATGAATTCCAGTTCTACATCCTATAATTGTGTAAGCTTGGCAAGTTACTTCACCTGTCAAATGTTCACATTCAGAGAGAGAGAGGGAGAGAGAGAGAGAGAGAGAAATTGCCTAGTACAACTCAATAACTGGCCCACAGAAAGCATTTAATAACTATTAGTTACTGCTATGAGTTAGAACCAGAGGAGAGAGAATGTTAATGGTCATGGCATTTTTCTGTTTATGTTAAATACTATCTTAAACATCTGGAGAAAAGAAGAAGAATCTAATTTTCTGCTTTTAGTATTAGTGATCACTGGCTGCTGTCGCCAATGCAGGGAGCCTTGCAGACAGTTAGCAACCTGAAAACAAACTGTATTATTTGAGAGGAGATACTTTTATCTCTCAGCTAAAGTTTTTGCAGGTCACTCTGATACGGTGCAGTATCAATTTGAACTCATTAAATTGAAGAAGTGACACAGGAACACAAGAATACGTTGAGTGTTTCTTTGCCTCATCTGCCTAATTCAATACAAATTCCAGATCTCTTCACTCACAAGCAAGCTTGATGGTGAAATCTTCACACACATGCCACTGTATGTTCTCTACCTCGTCCCCAAGTACACCCTACAGCAGTGGTTCTCAAATGTGCTTCCTGGGCTAACTGTATCAGAATTACTCGGGAATTATTAGAAGGGCAAAACCTCAGGCCCTACCGCAGATATGCTGAGTCAGAAATGTAGGGATGACTCAAAAACCTGTTTTAAACAGACTTCCAGGTCATTCTGATGGCATTCCAGAACTGTAACCTGGAGAACATACCGCTATTTAATGTACTGCAGTTTTTCTCAAAGTGAAGAACAGATACCAAGATAGGACCAAAAATGATCTTAGGTAGGACAAAGATGACTTTAGGTGACACTTGCATACCAACATCATAGAAGGGCTGTAAGAACTTATGAATGGATTAGAGAATATAGTAGGAAGTTGCTACATTCTTATTTCTTCAAGTTTCATTTTGAAGTCAGTTTTCCGTGTGGCCTCCAAAATAGCATTTCTGTCGGGGCTTCAGATTCCTCATTTGTGACATGACAGTAAAGAAGACTTGAAGATTTCAAAGATTCCTTCCAGCTCTTAACTAATATGTACTTACACATGTGTATTGTATGTGCGTTTGTTTACCTATAGAATAAATTCTGTATATAAGTCTGGCTTAGGCACAAATAGTTTAATTCCCCAGGCATAAACCTTGAGTGTTTGGGGATAACATTGAAACTAGATGGCTGTGTTGGAAAAATAAAAAATCAAATTGTGAGAAATGTGGGCGCTAATGTACATTTCAGAGCTCAAAGGTAATTTCATTGTATTTTATCATCATCTGTCAAACTTAAAGAAATACTGACACTAGAAAATAGATTTTTGCAGAGGTTTCTGAGGACAATGGTTTCCATGAGCTGGTGTAAATATATTCAGAGAGACTTGTTCCTACTTAATAACCTGCGTTTTTCCTTCTGAATTGCTGATGCGTTCACTTATAGCATTTGAAAGGCAGTTTGTCCTTTGCTGTCAAGTGAACTTGACAGAATAATATGAAATTTTGAAAAATTCAATCAAATCTTCTCAAAGGAATTTCTTGACTACTTATTCTGTTTAAGGAGAAAAAGAGAAGATGGTGTTTTTTTGGTTTTGTACAAAACACTAACCAAGCTTAATAGCACAGGCTCTAGTTAGCAGTTGCCACATCAAGTTTTCCCTCTCAGTAATCCTGGGGACAGTGCCGACTGAGGTTTGGGGTTGGGGGTTCTTTGGGGAGTAGCAGCAATACATAAGGGGTCACTACAGGACTGCACTGTTATAAAATCAGAAGCTGTCATGATCAGCTTATTTATTGCTTACAATATGCTTGTCAATCTGGAGACCTGAAAATAAGGAGAAATGGTGAAACTCACTTTTCTTCCTTAGACAATAAAATGGCTTGCGTTGTCTTTTACGTAACTGACAGAACCCCAGAAGCTAGATCCACTCAAATATTGGCAATTCTGATGAAATGCCCCAGGGACTATTCAACTTGATTTAACAGGCACTGAACTGAAAATTACTATGTACAGAAAGAATGTGCTTGCAATCATACAGACAACAGTTCAAATTACTCTTTAAGCTCCAGTCTCCTTATCTATAAACTGAGGGTAAAATGTTCCTACCTCACAAGATTGTCCTGAGAATTAATCAAAGAGGTAACGTTGGAAGTAGCCAGAACATCTAAAATTAACTGAGCACTTACTGTCTGCCAGGTGCTGTTTCAAGGGCTTCACCTGCATGAGGTCATTTAAGCCTCAGTAAATCTCTGAGATAGTTACTATTATAAGCTCTGTGTTGTGGATGTAGGAACTTACCCCAGAGAAAATGTAACTAACTTGCCAGCCACAATGTGGCAGGAAGAGACAGAGCCAACATGGGAACCCAAGAAGTCTGGCTGCAGGTTCTTCTTCTTTAAGGTTTAAAAGCACTTGACATTGTTATCAGCATTTCATATGAGTTAAACCATGTGAAATTACAGATACTTGACCATTTTTCACAAAAAAAAAATAGCAATTTTATGTGGTAGTACCTAATAAGCACTGAATATGTATTAGTAGTAACTGCAGTTGCTACTACTGCTAATAGTAGCAATCATAATATTTATCTTACCCTAGACGGTCACTCATTAAAGTAAGGAATGCAGGTCTATTATAGAGTAAAAACTACTAGCTTGGCAATCAGAAGCTGGGTGAACTCTAGGTTTCAGTTCTCCCATTCGTAAAATAATGCAATTGGTCTTTCCCAGTTT